TGGGACCCGAAGGCCCTAAGACCCCAATATATACTAATGCCCCAACGCCATGGGCCCAAGGATCCTAGGACACTGAGACGTTATGGCCAAATCACGAAGGCCTAAGGGACCCAATGTATGATGGTCCTAGGGCGTTCGGGTCTCAGTGTCCCAGGGTCTCAGTGTCCTAGATCCTTTGGGGGGGGGGGGGGGGCATTCAGGTGTTATTGAATTGTGCGCCTCGGGTACCTTAAAGTCGTAGGGTTTCAGGGTATTGCGGCCCTCGGGTCTAGGGCCCTCATGGTCATGAGGCAGTACTGGCCTAGGGTATTGTGGTATCAGGGTCCTGGGGTCCTATGGCCTCTGGGTTTTGGCGTCTGAGTATCTTACGACCTTATCCCTTGTGTACCTCGGAGTCTTAGGGTCTCAGGGTCCGAGGGACTCATTGCCTTGGCGCCTTAGAGTCGTAGGGCCTTAATGCACCATTGTATGATGGCACGGCCTGAGGGTGTTTCTCGAGCTCGGCTCGGCCGTCGCCTTATGCAAAACCGTTCGGTATATGATGTTATGTGAATTTGTCCATGGTCGATGGGAGAATCCAAGACCCAGAAGATTCCCAATCGGATGTCAATGGGAATTGAGCAGAGCCCAGATCTAGATGATCTCAAGTTGACTCCAATAGAAGTCACATCGGGATGGTGCAAACCAGACGCAAAGGCATCCATATTTGATTTCAAGAGTATGCCAATTGGTTTCATTGCGGATGTAGCAGGCCCCAAACCCACAGGAGTCAATCGATAAAACATGCACATGTTCCAGGGGACGGAGATACAACCTCCACCCCGGGCACCCCCGGGCACCCGGGGACCCGAGCGTGCAGCGAAAATCGGCGGCAGATTAACCCAACCATATGGATCCGCAAGCTCGGACTGGGGAATTATAGTAGTAGTCGTAGTAGTAGTAGTAGTAGTAGTAGTAGTAGTAGTAGTAGTAGTAGTAGTAGTAGTAGTCGGAGTAGTAGTAGTCGTAGTAGTAGTAGTAGTTGTTGTTGTAATAGTAGTAGCAGCCGTAGTAGTAGTAGTAGCACTAGTAGTAGTAGAAGTAGTAGTAGTAGTAGTAGTAGTAGTAGTCGTAGTCGTAGTCGTAGTAGTCGTAGTAGTCGTAGTAGTCGTAGTAGTCGTAGTAGTTGTTTGAGTTGTAGTAGTAGTAGTAGCAGTAGTAGTAGCAGTAGTAGTCGTAGTCGTCATCGTAGTAGTAGTAGTAGTAGTAGTAGTAGTAGTAGTAGTAGTAGTAGTAGTAGTAGTAGTAGTAGTAGTAGTAGTAGTAGTAGTAGTAGTAGTAGTAGTAGTAGTAGTAGTAGTAGTAGTAGTAGTAGTAGTAGGTAGTAGTAGTAGTAGTAGTAGTAGTAGTAGTCGAAGTAGTAGTAGTAGTAGTAGTAGTAGTAGTCGTAGTAGTAGTAGTAGTAGTAGTAGTACAGTAGTAGTAGTAGTACAAAGTAGTAGTGCAGTAGTAAGTATAGTAGTAGCAGTGGTAGTCGTGGTAGTCATCGTGTAGTAGTAGTAGTAGTAGTGATATAGTGGTAGTAGAGTTGTAGTAATAGTCGTAGTGGTAATAGTACTAGTATCGTAGTAGTAGTAGTAGTAGCCGTCGTAGTAGTAGTAGTAGTAGTAATAGTAGTAGTAGTAGTAGTAGTAGTAGTAGTAGTAGTATAGTAGTAGTAGAGTAATAGGTAATAGTAGTCATCGTAGTAGTAGTAGTAGTAGTAGTAGTAAAGTAGTAGTAGTAGTAGTAGTAGTAGTAGTAGTAGTAGTAGTAGTAGTAGTAGTAGTAGTAGTAGTAGTAGTAGTAGTAGTAGTAGTAGTAGTAGTAGTAGTAGTAGTAGTAGTAGTAGTAGTAGTAGTAGTAGTAGTAGTAGTAGTAGTAGTAGTAGTAGTAGTACGTAGTAGTAGTAGTAGTCGTAGTCGTAGTAGTAGTAGTAGTAGTAGTAGTAGTAGTAGTAGTAGTAGTAGTAGTAGTAGTAGTAGTAGTAGTAGTAGTCGTAGTCGTAGTCGTAGTCGTAGTAGTAGTAGTAGTAGTAGTAGTAGTAGTAGTAGTAGTAGTAGTAGTAGTAGTAGTAGTAGTAGTAGCTACAGCTAGTAGCAGCTAGTTGTTTGTATTAGTACGAGTACCAGTACTAGTACCAGTACTACTACTAGTAGTAGTCGTCGTCGTAGTAGTAGGCAGGGAAAAGAGAGGGAAAGGAGAGGTCATGAAGAGGGAAAGAGGGAGGACGAGGAGTGCCATGAAATGGGGAGACGGACGGAGGCGATGGACTGGGGAGGATTCCGGAGGAGTGCCGAGGAGTGCAATGGAATGGGGAGGGACGGAGAGAGGAGAGGAGAGAGGAGGGCGGAGGGAGAATGGAGAGCGAGGGAGGAATGAGGAGGAGGCAGAAGGAGGACTGCCATGGAATGGGGAAGCGGAGGGAGTAGTGCATGGAGCGGGGAGGACTCCAGCGGAGTGGGGAGGAACGCCGAAACGCAATATTGAGGGAGTTTCGAGGAGTGGGGAGGGATGCCGAAGAGCTCGGTGAACTGCGGAAAGGTACAGAGGAGTGGGGAGGAGTACGGAGAAGGGGGAGGAGGAACTGAGTGAAGTGCGGAGGAGTGCCGAGGAGGGCGATGGAGTGCGGAGGAATGAGAGGCTCTGGAGGGTTCCTTGGAGGCCTCTGGAAGGCTCCTTGGAGACCTTTGGGGGACGCTTTCGTGGACCCCTGGGCTCAGCTGCCCCGATACGCAACACGCCAGGGAACGTGGCCCAACACGCAGGCTCAAAACGGAGACCTGGCTGCAACGCAAAGCGACATGGAGGGAGTTTCGACAGGCTCTCCGGAGAGCCCAAGAGGTTTTTCGGAGAGCCCAAGAGGCTCTTCGGCCGCTCCAAGAGGCTCTTCGGCGGCTCCCTAGAGGCTCTTCGGCGGCTCGAAAAGGCTCTCTGGAGAGCCCCAGGGGCTCCCAGAGGCTCTTCCGAGAGGCTCTTCGGTGAAGTGGGGGGGAGGCTCTTTGGAGACCCCCCCCCCTTCACCGTACACTCGTTGATTACTACCCTCCGGAGGAACCCTGGCCATACGAACACCCACCGGGCCGCACGAACAACCAACGGGCCACAGTAACACTTATCTCCCCGCCCCCCCCCATGACGCCCGTCATCGCCGAACATAAAGAAACGCGCTCCAAGTGTCAAATGTCCTTTGACGGTTCCCAGAGAGACCAAGACAACATCCTGGTTCGAAAGGTTGGTGCGTCTCCGCAGTATCATTATCACATTGGTCTTGGGCCTTTGTAATGTGAGCTCCTGATTCCCTCGGTTGGAGGACGCGGTTGGCCCCGCTGGGCGCTATTTCTTGCTGTTGAAGCGTGAGCGTCTGTTGGGGCGGCTCGTGACCCCCCCTGCCTGCCTGACCTGGCCAGAGTTCATCGTAGCGATGCTCCTTGCTGCTGCGCATATGTGCACATATATATATATATATATATACATATATATATATATATATATATACATACATATGTATATATATATATATATATGTAGATATGGATATGCCTGGGCGGCAGGCCTGGGGCCCGAAAACAGCTGCCTCGACCCTCCATGGGGGGACCGGGGCCCCAGACTGCTTCTAACACCCCCTTATGACGGTCCTGGCCGGCCTCTGCACGGGCGGAAAGGGCCCCAAGAGGGCGCAAGGAAGCCCACGAGGGCCCCAGAGCCGTCGCACGATGCATTCAAGACGCCCAAGATGGCCTGCAGACGGCTCAGGAAGCCTTGGATGCCCTCCGAGAGAGCCCCAAGACTGTTCCCGAGAGGGCTCCGACAGGCAAAAAACATTGATTTCCCGTTGGTTCTTCAATGTTTCTTGCTTTTGTCATTTGTTCGAGTTTCCGACCAAGACGGTCCGAGAGGCCCCCAAGACCGCCCCAAGACGTCCCAAGAGGCCCCCAAGATTGCCCCTCGCTGGCCAACCTCGTCCGAAAAACGTTAACATGGGCCTCCAAAGGCCTTTGCTTCTTTTCCGCGCATCCTTATGAGACGGGTTGACGTGCCCTCGCAGTCTTGGATTGCCTTGCGATCTTCCTTGCGCATGGCATGGTTGTGGCAGCCTTGCTTTCCCGGGTGGCGCTGGCCGCCTTTTCGAATAGTCTTGTTGCTCCCACCTTCCTCACTTGCCCCCCCGTCCCCGCCGTCCTTCGTGGCTGGTGCCCGCTCTTGGCCGGGCGCGCAGCGATGCCGCGGTCGAGGCCCTTGTGCGCCCCAGAGCGATGTTTTACCACCGCGCGGAATCCACCTGTAACGACGAAGTACCCCCCTGTCATTTCGGCTTCCCAAAGTGGCCGCTTCACGTCTGCTCCAACACGATGCTAAGCAACAGCCTCGCATAGTATTATCTGATTGGTTCGGAAGCCAGTTTGGAGCTGATTTGGGATCGGTGATTGTTCCGATGGGAGGGTATCAATGACTCAGTGCGGGCTTGATTCTCAGCTCGAGAACCATGTGGACTAACCTCGACATGTTTATTGACCAGTCAATGGTTGGAAGTGCAGTCATTATTATTGTGGGGCGTCTAGGATGCTATATGTGTCATGTTCGTTATCGAACGTCTGATCTTATGGTATCGGTTTCGAAGCCAAGTGTTTGCTCAAGTTTGCATCCGATTCGAGCGAGTCTAGAGGCCAAGTTGCGCCGTAGTGGAGGCCCCCGAGTCGGGCCACAATCGGATTCGAAAGCGGCGTCACAGCTATTTCCGGATCAGCAGCTTGTTGCTCGTTCTCCTCCCCGTCGACTTCCCGCTCTTCCTACCCCTCCCTCCTCAGGTACCTCCTGCTCACCCTGCTGCTGCCGATCCTCCGCCTCTCCTCCTTGACCCGCCTCCCGTGCTCCTCCTTGACTTGCTGCCGATGCTCCTCCTGGCTCTCCTGCTCCCTCGCTTCTCCCCCTCCTGCTTATCATGCACGCTTCTCCCGCGAGCCCCCAGTCCCCGATCTCAGGCAAGTCATGAAAATGATGAACGTGCCCTTGTCGGTGGAGAAGCGGATGAGTTTCCAACGGGCTTGTACGATGAAGACGGTGGTCATGATGAAGGAGACTGTTCTGCGCAGGGCACATGGCTTTCTCTGTTCCACACGTTGTGGTATCCGTTCCAGCTCTTTCTGCTTCTCGTATTTTGGGTGCTTGCTCATCCAGTACATGTTGCGACAGCGTATTGATTGTCTTTTCATTGACCTTTCAATGCTATTGAACTACGTTTACCTTTTAATGTTACTATATTGTACTTAAGGGTTTGCGTATCCCCACCAGCCCCATACAGAAGCGATCCGGAGGCGTGTTGTCTTGACCAGGGAAGTGTAGCGCATACAGTGATACAACGAGGGAGGGCCGCTTTCCTATCACCTTTGCACTCACCTCCGTATGGACTGGACAGGAAAAGGCCGCGCCTAGGCGGCGCATCGGTAGATGATTCGGCAGCTCGTAGTGTACATTTGCGGTGGCGTGCAGGAGTATACAAATGAACAGTTGCGCGGTGCCTCGGAGAGGTCATTGTATTATTTGTGCTAACGAAGTGCGAGGGAAACCTGCGCGGCTATACAGAGGAGGCTGAGGGAGGGAGGGAGGGAGGGAGGGAGGGAAGAACCCCAGGAATGTTGCACATTACGGGGGGAAATGTATGATCGAAGCCGAGGGCTAATTTTTGGGGGAACTTCACCTCCGTATGCTTGTTTATTAATTGTTGACGCTTCGCGAATCCCCACCAGCAGGGCTGGCCCGGCCGGCTTGCGCTGCGCCTAGTAGCTAATTAGGCTGGCCCGTCGCCCCAGACCCCCTTTCGCCGTCTGCCCTCTGCTGCTCGGCCGCGACCGAAAAAGAATCCCCACCAGCCACCGTCCCGCCGTCTGTTCGCGCCTGTCGCCACCCTGGTGTGTCGACCGCGGACTGCGCCCCCCACTGTCTGAGGCTCGGGTGCGCGACTTTGCTCCACTCGCACTTGCCAGGCCTTGGCAGGCATCTTGGGTCACTCTGAGGTGCCCACCCTGGTCACATCGCGGTGCCCCCACGCGCCATCTTGGCCGCGCCGCAGCTTCTGCTGCCCAGTTCACTCGCATCCGATTCATGTCGTGTCGGTCGGTTCACGTGGCTCTGACCCCCAGGTACCCTTGCAGTCCCGTGGGTGGCCACGCCCTTGCATGCAATTCGTTTCGCAGCTTGCAGACCCTGGCAGCTGGCCACCCTGGCAGTCCGCCACCCCCTGCAGCTTGTTGCATGCGTGTACCCCTGGCAGTGCAGCCACCCTGGCAGCCACCGCCATGCTTGCATGTACGCTGTGTGATCGTTTTCTGCCCCTGGCCCTGGCCTCACTCAGCGCAGCTTGCAGCTCACTTGAGGCGCCGCTTATGCAGCTTAGGCAGTTTAGGTGCGCGGCTTTAGTTTGCTCCTGTTGTCAATTAGTAGGCCCGCGCCCCGGACTTACGACTCGCCGCTTGCGCTTTCGCCCGCGGCCGCGACCAAAAGAATCCCCACCAGCGCCCCCCTCTCCCTATGGGGTTTTGGCGTGCGGCGTTGCTGGCGCCACCACCTGCACTCGCCAGACCGTGGCGGGCATCTAGGGCCTAACACCGTGTTGCCTCACCCTGGTCGCACCGTGGTGCTCCTGTGCGCCATTTTGGCTGCGCTTTAGCTTCGGGTGGCCAATTCACGCGCACGCAATTCGTTTCTTCGTGGTTTTTGGCTTACCCGGCTCATGCCACCCTGGCAGCCTCTCCAGTCACAGCGGTTTCCCACGCTTTTTGCATTCAAGTCGTTAGCAGCTTGCAGACCCTGGCTGTCGATTGCCCTGGCAGTCAGCACCTGCAGCTCGCTGCACAGTTGCAGCGCCCAGCAGTGTTGCAGCCCCGCCTCCTCTTCGGCGACTTCCTGATCCCGTTCTGAGTGGCGGTGTTACGCCTGCTTCTGCTTGGTTTATTAGACCCTCGCGCGGCCCGCCCGGACCCTGACTCGCCGCTGTTGCGCTCTCGCCTGCGGCTGCTGGCAAAAAGAAGCCCCACCAGCTCATCCAGAAACGATGCCCAGAGGAATTGCCTCGATCAGGGAAGTGGGCAGCACAGAGAAAAAAACATTCTGAGACATGTTGGGAAATCTTGAGCCATCTTGGAGGTCATCGTGGTCTTTCCCAGGCGTTCTTGGAGTCATCTTAATCAGCGCCGCCCCCAAAGAGGCCAACATGTGGCTAAAACTTCCGTGCAATCAATGATTGGGCATTCTCGCCGAGGCCTCTTGGAGCATCTTGGCTGCCTCTGGGGGCTCTTTTGTGGCCTCTTGGGGGTCTCTTGGGAGCCTTTTGGGGGCATCCTGGGGGCCGTTTGGGGTTTCCTGGCCACCTCTTGGGGCCCTCTTAGGGCACCCTTGGGGGCCATTTTTGGGCCATCTTGGGCGAGATCGATCACATGGGGGGGGGTACGGATTACAGTCGCCCCCCCCAGAAGGCCAAAATGGGGTCTAAACCATGGTACAATCAATGATGTTGGTTTCCTCGCCGAGGCCGTTTTGGACGTCCCAGCACCTCGCGGAACCTCGTCCAGATCCATGGGGAGGGGGTGGGGGGAGGGGTAAACCCCTCCCCGGAGGGGAAGAAGGAGGGGTGGAAGAGGAAACGCCCTAAACCACCGACGCCCAGAGGGCTGGTGGGATTGAAGGGCTTCCTGCAGGTTAGCCGAGAAGGCCTTTCACGGTCGTCTCTATATTTAAAAGGCTTACGCCATTCCGCAGATCTCCAGAAGAGGATATACGCAGTTTCCATTTTCGTGCGTGCGTGTGGTGTTTGACATTCCCGTTGTGCTGCATTCGCGTAGGCGCTGCTTCAATCCATCCTCGTGTTCATCCGCATTTGTTGCAGAGTTTCTTGGAGGCCTTTTGGAGGCCTAGGGGGCGGTTCCGTGGAGCTTCTTCAAAGATCATCCCGTTGGCTTTTTCAGGTCATTTGGAAGCGTGTTGGGGGTTTCGTGGAGGCATGTCCGGGGTATTGGGGACCATCATGTGGCAGGAGGGTCCCGGGATCCCTGCAGGTTCCTCCTAGTGGTCCTCTCTTGGACATTTCTTGAAGTCTTTTGGCCATGTGGGGGGCCTTTTGGGCCGTCTTGGAGCCCGCTTGGGCCGTCTCTAGGTTTTCTTGAAGGCCTCGCGGGCCGTCTTGGGCCAGTCTGGGCTGCATCTTGCGCCGATTTGGCCTTGCAGACGCCCGCAAAGGCAGGGTGAAGAAAGGGATGAGGAGGAGGAGGAGGAGGAGGAGGAGGAGGAGGGATAGGAGGATGAAGAGGAGGATGCCCGCTCCCCACCTTTTTGGCATCGCGGCCACGCACGCGGTGTCGCGGCGTAGTACAGGTCAGGCGAGCGCGCGGATCAGCCCAGCCCACGCGGCGTGGAGAAGCTGCATCCATCAATAGGGGATGGACGCAACCTAGCTGAGCCTTCGATCGTTGCGTGGAGGACGCGCAGCGCTTGACGCTTCGGAGCGCCGTGAGCCTCTGCCGCAGGACTTCTGGTGGGCCGCAGGGCGGTGCGTGTTGAGGCCTCGCTGAGTGGCGCCCCAGCAGAGCTGACTAGCTCTGGAAACGGCAGGGCTATCTTTTTTCCCCAACCCTCCTGTGTTCGCCTCTCGTTTATACATCTTCCGGGGAACCGGGTCCGGTGGCCCACGAGGGAGCCCAAAATCGACGCCGAGGGCGATCAGACAGCCGTTGAGACGATCCACGGCGGCCTCGAGTCGTCCCAAGACGGCGCCCAGACATTTTAGACGGCTCACTCGGCGCCTCCAGCGGGCTCAAGAGGTGCCACAAGTCGCGCCAAGACGGCCCACGAGGCTTCCGAGAATGCCTCAGGCAGCCCCAAAGAGTCCCAAGATAGCCCAAGAGGGCCCCAAAACGGCCCAAGAAAACCCCAAAACGGCTTGGGAGAGCCCCAAGAGAACCCTTGAGACCTTCTCGGACGGTTCTCTTGGGGCCCAAGAGATCCCCATGAGAGTCCATATGCACACAGAGTTACATATATACACAAAAGTGTGTATATATGTATGTTTATATACACAGACATAGTAGCAAGCGTTGACCCCACACACTGTGTTTCAAACAATATATGAAGTGCAAGTTGTGTAGCATATGTTGTGCAATCTATGATCGGCAGTCCTATGTTGTGCAGCGTATGCTGTGCAATCTACGTGATGCAATCTGCGTGGTGCAGTCTATGTGGTGCAATTGACTACCCTGCACCGCGCTTGACCACTCCACTGCTCGCGCAAACATCCCACCCACCCACCCGCAACTTGGTTCGCAAAATCTCTTAAAACCGTGACGGTGGGTACCAAATGGCACTTGCCAACGACAGCGACGACGACAGCGACAACGACGACGACGACGCCGCCGACAACGACTACGACGACACCGGCGACGTCTCCAACGACTTCGACGACGCCGACAACGACGACGACGACGACGACGACGACACCGACGACGACGACGACGCCGACGCCGACGACGACGACGAGGACAACGACGACGACGATGACGACGCCGACGACGACGACGACAACGACGACGCCGACGACGACGACGACGTCAACGACACCGACGCCGACGACGACGACGACGACGACGACGGCGGCGACGACGACGACGACGACGACAACGACGACGAAGACGACGACGACGCCGACGCCGACGACGACGCCGACGACGACGACGACGACGTCGCAAACGAAGACGACGACGAGGGAGGAGGGAGGACGACGACGGCGACAACGACGACAACGACGAGGGAGGAGGGAGGACGGCGACGACGCGAACGAAGAAGAAGGAGGAAGGACGGCGACGCCGACGACGGCAACGACGAGGGAGGAGGGAAGACGACGACGACGATGACGACGACGACGACGACGACGACGACGACGACGACGGCGACGAAATAGGAGGGACGACGACGAGACGCCGACGACGGACGACGACGACGACGAGGGAGGAGGAGGAAGGACGACCATGGCGACAACGACGACGGAAACGACCACGACGCCAAAGAGGACGACGACGACGAACACGAGG